TTTATTTTATCTGTTGATTAGGGCCGGGAGGAAAGTATTGTCGGGTTGGTTCCCTACCTGCGTTTTCCCTCCCCACCCACCCTTTGCATGCATTTCTGAGTTGATACAGTGCCACGTCAGCAGTGCCACGTAAGCAGTGCCCGTCAGCAGTGCCCGTAAGCAGTGCCATGTCACAGTGTCACGTAAGCAACAGTGCCACGTCAGCAGTGCCACATAAGCAACAGTGCCACATCAGCAGTGCCACGTCAGCAGTGCCACGTCAGCAGCGCCCCGCCACCATGACGGGCGCAGCTCTGGGCATGCCAGGCCAACTGGCTAATGAGTCTCTTGCCGACTACAAAAGGCGGTTCCAGGCTCAGATCGCTCTCATCGAGGCTGAGGAACAGCACCAGCTGGCAGCCGAGGCTGCCCGCCTACAGGCTGAAGCGGCGGCAACAGCTGAGAAGCAGCGGCTACAGGCCGAAGCAGACGCAGATACCCAGGCACGCCGCAAGGAGGCCCAGGTTCTGCTGCAGCGGCATGAAGCTGCCAGCATCGACAGAATCAAGTTCTGGCATTTTGAACCGGCCAACAGCGACGACGCGACACCGGAAGAGCAGCATAAGGAGTTCATCTCCAAACTCGTGACACGGTTGTTGTACACTTGCAACCACCAACAGTCCGAGTTAGAAAAACAGAACCAGGAACTGCAGCAACAGTACCAGGATCTGAAGACACAGCACCAGGAGTTGGCGAACCTCCGCCGGATGGTGCAGAGCCACGAGGATGCTACACGGGCACTCAATTCCCGTGTACTGGACCTGGAGCAAGTTGTACCAGGACCAGATGCTGGTGAGTCCAGCAGTGCACCCTCTAACCGCCAACTGGAGCAACGCGTCGACCACGTCCTCGCAATGCTCGGCGACAACAGCACCTTCGCTGTGCCGACCACCATCAGCAATCAGCTGGTCAAAATCGGCAGGTCCTCCTCCTCCTCGCAACGCAACTCAAAATCGACAGGTCCTCCTCCTCCTTTCGTCTTCTTGTCTCCGCCTCCTCCTCCTCCTCCTCCTTCTCCTCCTCATCTCTCTCCTCCTCCCCCTCCCTCCTTCTCTCCTCCTCCTCCTCCTCCCCCTCCCTTCGTCTTCTTCTCTCCTCCTCCTCCTTCTCCTCTTCCTCCTCCTTCGTCATCTTTTTTTTTCTTTTTTTCCGTCAACTCAACTCAAAATCGGCAGGTCCTCCTCCTCCTCCTCCTCCTTTCATCTTCTTGTCTCCTCCTCGTCCTCCTCCTCCTCCTCCTCATCTCTCTCCTCCTCCCCCTCCCTTCTTCTTCTCTCCTCCTCCTCCCCCTCCCTTCGTCTTCCTCTCTCCTCCTCCTCCTCCTCCTCCTCCTCCTCCTTTCTCCTCCTCCTCCTCCTCCTCTTCCTCCTCCTTC